TATTCGATCTGTCAGACATTTTAGGCTACGACTGCTTCATCGGAGTTCTCATAAAAAAACAGATAAAATTACTTTGTTCGGGATAAATTTCCTCCTCCAGGAGTTGTCAATTTCATATGTACTGAACAATATGAATTAGAAGATTGGAAGTTGATTGAAAATTAATTACAAAAAGTGTCACATTGCTCCAGTAGTACATTTTAAAATGCTATTGAGGATATTCACCTCGCCTACGCAGGAATCAATGAAAATAAAAGACGAAAATACTCCTGTGGAATCTCAAATGCAAAATACCATAATTAAATTTGAAAAGTCTGCACAAATTTTATGTCATCGGTATATTGAAGTACCGAAACAATATCTCCGGCCCGTTATGTTTTTTCTTTTCACTTTCTTTGTCGCCTTGTAAAAAATTAAATGCTAAGCTTTCAAAACAAATTATTTTGAACGACCTTTTCTAATAACCCATTTTTCTCGTTGTTTTCTTCGCAAGAAACCCAAAAGCCAAAAGGAAAAAAAAACCTAAAATAAAGATAAATGAGTAATGAATACTCTCCTCCTTTATTTAAGCAGACCTAAGCCAATAAAAACCCCTATAAATTTTTTATTTCTTCAAGGTTTCTCTATTGTATTCTCTTTATCCACATGAGCTTATTAAACTGGCAAGCATCCCCGAGCGTTACGCCCACTGTTAAATACAATGTACATTGTTTCGAAATCCGACCACGTGTAGGTGCGTCATCCAAATAAACTAATGCATACCGCTATTTCTGTCCGTCGTAGATGCGTTAAATACGATGATTAAATTTCGCTATCCTGTATACTTCAGTACGGGATTTTCAAGAAGTGAAGGTTATGCATACTGATACATTGATAGGGTGGCGAAGCAGATTGATAGAGAACTATGCGGTTAAATTATGTACCAATAGAATATAAGAGAATAAAGTAATAAGGTTTTCATACAACACATTGTAAAGAAAATTTAAGTGAGGATAGAGGAATAGCTATGATGTTTTAAGAATTGAGGAATTGAATGAACATCTCAAGCCATCATCTCTATCATAAAATTTTAGCCACTCATCCGTATTAAATCAATGCGCCTTTTCCGCCTCTGTTAAATTTAGAACTCCTCTTACTACGAGCTTGTACTATTATTTCATTATTATGTTTCTAGTTTTTTGGCAAAAATATTAAATTTCAGGTTTTCGGCACGGTACGAGACAATGCCACAATTCTAGATTCCTTTGTCTTCCAACACTCCATACGTAATCTAACCTATAGATTAGATCTGCAGGCTATGTCTCGAGAATATGTTAACACGCAAAGGTACTATTACGATTTGATTGTTTTAGGTGAGTGGTATCTTTTAATAACTGAAATCTAATTCCCTTTTTTTTTAAGTAATTAGACTTGCTTAGTATCACACTGTCTTATTTTTTTGCTGCTGCTACTGAAATATAAGGAAAATAAGTTAAGAAACACGCTTGGCATTACAAGTTGGGAAGTTTTGGAATGATTTTGGTGATTATTTTTTATTTTTTGGATTAAGAGCCTAACAAGAAAGAGTTTACTCGTATGTTTTAAGCGTTTAATGTAATAAGATATTTCTCCCGCCTTCATGGTGTAATGGTTAGCACCCTTGGCGCGTATTCGAGAGGTCCAAGGTTCAAGTCCCTGCGAGGGCATTACATATTTTTCAGGTCTGTCAGCATTAAAAATCCTAATATCTCTACAGTGGTGTCCGAACTAAAAAAGGTGGTGGATGGTGATTCTCTACCACCAGGATTTGGCGATTGGGTCCCCTAATCCCCAGTCGCCCTTGAAAAGGTGAGTATATTAGGTATTTCTCCCGCCTTCTTAGCATACCTTCGTGGTGTAATGGTCAGCACACTCGGCGTGTATTCGAGAGGTCCGAGGTTCGAGTCCCGAAGAGGGAGGGCACTGCTCATTTTTCACGTCTCTCAGCATAAAAAATCCTAATGTCTCTATAACATCTTGTTCAATACACGTTTTCTCAGTTAATAATCAATTTGGCTTTTAATTTCGCTTTAGAAGTACCCTCGCTTAATATGATCCTTCTTAATAAACATATAGAAATTCTTTCGCAATTTGATTAGAAGTATCAAAATGGCATAAAAGACGCGCCAAATGGCAAATTGAAGATGAAACTGGAAGAGTAATGAATATAAGAAACTGGAAATTTTCTTGAATTCTGCATCACTCACGAGTGAGTACAATTCTTATATATGGGTACAACAGACAATACCGAGGACCACGAAAATGTAGGACCCCGTATGTTGGTACATTTACTTTTATTCTTGAGAAAGATGGTATAGCTAAGGGCTCCAGATTACTACCGAACCATGGTGGGCAAAATTGTGTTAAAAAAAAGCCTCATATGTATATTATTGGGGAATACAATATGTAATATGCTTATTTACCCAAAAATATACGTATGTTTTTACAGCCATGCTGCCACAGATATTAATTTTTAATAGGCATGCATTTCAAACTTCAGATTCTTTGAACATATATGCCTTTTTTCATTTAGTTAAAATGAAAACAGCTTACATTCACTACAAATCTAAAGAATAATAAAAGCAAAGGTTGATAGAAAACAGGAAGGCTAATTAATGATTTTGATTCAAAATTTAAATAATAGTATCAATAATATTCTCAAAAATTCCTATCTCCCATTTTTAGCATAATCCTTAATTTAGATTTAGAAACCGCTAAAAACGAGGACCATTTTCTAAAATTTTGACCAAAATGCGTTATTACCATTTTAAATTTTGTAATCTCATACGAATCTCTTCAACATGTTTATCCAAAAATAAAATTAAGGTGGTAATAATAATAATAATAATAATAATAAATGCCATGGGAAAATTCCAGCTTAGTGTCTAGCGCCTTGAAGAATTTATCATCAAAATTTTAAAAAAAATGTTAAAGTATTAAAAATTTATAAAATATAAAAATTAAAAGTTCTAAAAATTTGCAATTAAATCTTCATATATTGATTCCGAATTTATCAGCTAAACTATTTGAAATTAAACAATAAAAATTAGCCTGCTACTTAAAAAACTAATCCTCCAAGAATTCAAAATGTTGAATCATGTATTTAAAATGAGTTGTTAAAAACAATGCCAAATCGTAGGAAAAGAAAACTTGAAAGATATTATTTCATTCTTGATTATCGCCAAGTGGAGTCTTATGCGCTTAAAAAAGAAAAGATTTTTGACAAATAGCTGGCATTTTATGGATTAGATCGTTTGCGCACAAAGCTCATAACAAATATTTTTCTCAGATGGCAATACTCAGCAGAACCCAAGCTTAATGAAGTAAAAACAAGTACTTTCGAAAGTTGCAAAATTTTACACAGTTTTATACACATCATATAATCCCAGACATTATTGAAAATATCAGTTCTGCTTTGTAGAAACATTAGGTATTTTTTGAAAACAGATTTGAAAAATGAGCGATGCCCTCGCCGAGACTCGGACCACGGACCTCTCGAATACGAGCCGAGTGTGCTGACCACTACACCACGAAGGCATGCTAAGAAGGCGGGAGAAATACCTTCTTCATAGCATGAAATACCGTCTTCTTCTTATTAGTCAGTCACACTTAATTGCTAAAAACTGTTATTTCTAAAGTTCTGAGCAAGAAATTCAGTACTTTTTATCATGTCATACGTTATATTAGTTTCAAATAAATTCTAAAACTAATAACAGTAACTTCTGTTTTAAATAAAAGGAAAATTTTTCCACAATTGAACTTCAAGACTTACTAATATTTTGTTTCTATTAATATTTAAAAGCAAGATACTTCTTCATCTGCAATACGAGCACCCTGACTAGTCTGCTGAAACCGACGATCACGTTTTGCTCATTTCTATTCAATTTAATGTGCCAACATAGTATTGAAACTATATATTGTGTTACTGCATCCTCCAGCGCAAAAGCGTTCGAATAAAAATTCGAACTCCTATTTCAGTGCGACAATTTATTCGAAAAAAGATTTTGAAACTTTTAAGTTCACGAGTAATAGATCTAAAATGGTAATGAATTAAATGAATATTTACGGTTTGATATTACTGAATTTGATATTAGAAAATTCTTCAATCATTTATTTTTTGTGGTATAATGCGAAGAGATTCAGACAATTCATGTGAATTACAAAATATGTTTTAAATCTGAATTATTACTTGGCAATTTTAATTCACCTAGGCCACAAGAAGCAACTGAATATGTTTCGAGAAAGAAAAGAATGAAAATAAAAGTTCCTTGTTACTTACAGCAGAAAACGCAAATTTATTTATTAATGAATAAGAGTCGATGATGTCAATAAGAGAGATGCATGCCAATTTGGGATCAGATATTGCTCCCTCTTGATAACTTCAAGATGAGCAATAATAAATTTCATTTGTTGTATTTTAATTAAATTATCATATTTATTTAATAGATGAACTTAAGAAAAGTCCCTTTAGGGAATACAGGTAGAAGCAATTTAAGTATTTCAGAAAAAGATAATAGTTATTATGAAAACTATTATATTTTTCTCAGAAATCAGAAGTCAGAAAAATATAATAGTTAAAAATATATAATAGTTTAGTCAGAAAAATATAATAGTTAAAAATATATAATAGTTTAGTCAGAAAAATAGAATAGTTAGAAAACCATTTCGCTGTTAAAGGGAATTGAATTTCCCTAATTTACAAGCTTACGAAACGAATTTTGCATAAGCATAATTCTAAAACTTGTAATTTTATGATCTGCTTTCTATGTTATCAAAGTAAAAATATCATATTTAAAAATTTTCAAAAATCATTTGACTTTTTTGTTTAAATTGTTCCACACGAGTTGTAGTTGCATGATAGCACAAAAAGAAAACGAAGTTGAACAACAATTCTATTTTTGTTGCAACTTTCTGAAAATGAGCTGGCAACATGCAAGTAATGGTATAACGTGAGCTTTGTGGATTAGAGAAAGGATACTTACGTAAATGATCAAACCCTGTCTTCATCCTTTTGAGGAGTTGATGTCGTCGTTGCCATAGCGACAACTGACGCTCCTTCTCCTAAAAGAAAACGCATTCCTTAGCAAATATATCCATTCGCAAATGCAAAGCAATTATGCAAAGTAAATCACTTAAAGAAATTGCCACGGTTCAAATACGTCTCAAAGCTGCGGGATTTAAAAATAAGAGATTTTTTTTCCATCTCACCGTGACTACGACATGTGAATTCGGTAACCCACATTTGTACGTAGTTGCTGACGTCATAATACAACTAATTTCCCAGAAGTTTAAAAACATTCAATTATTTCTGTCTTCAATTATCGGATAGATTATCAGCATGACGCAGATTATGGTCTTGAGCATTTGTTGAAAAATGAAAACTTAGATGATAATTATATAATTTTTGATTAATAGTTTCGATACGCTCTGTAATTTAATGTAATATGTTCAAGAGCAGTGTTTACAGACACGTGACAATCTGAAGCCATATCACGTCAGAGACAAAATTTTAAATTAGAAATTAATATGTCTGAGATGTAATAATGTATTTTATGGTTTAAAATTTGGTGAGAGGAAAAAAACACGTTGTCTATTCTTCCCATTTTATTTCTGGTATAGAATAATAATAATAATTAGATGGAATTATTAATTTTCGAGAAAATTCAGGAATGATATGTTAAATCACATTAATTTCAAAATGAAAATATCATTCATTAAGTGTAATATCTAAATTTTTATTTCTATGAGCTACAGCTTTCAAATGCAATTTCAATTTAAAAATTTTTTAATTCGTTCTCAAGTTCACGACCGCAGTTTATTAGAAAAATAATCTCAGTTTTGTGTATATTTTCATTTCTGTTATCTTTTCTGTTATATTAGAAATTATTAAAATTCTTCTTGTAAAATAATTTTTAAATCGTAAAAATGTTCTTTTTCTTTGTGTTCATGCTGTTAATTTTATATCAATTAAAATTTTAACATTTGAAATTCTACTTTTTTTTGTCAACTCTGCCAAAAAGTACAAATTAAGTAAGTGACATTAACAATTCAACCGCTGGAACTGCATATATTCTATTCCTTATCATTGGATAACTACACTAGGCGAGTTTCTGGTCTCTCAGTTAAGAAATTTGTGTTTAGAAATCGGCATGAATTTAGAAATCGCATAGTATAACGGCAGTGTGTAACTAGACATGAAGAGTTCGGTGGAAAAGAAGCCAATGCCATAAAACCACACTTTTATAATTTTGGGGAAACCCTAAAATAATTTTACTAATCGTAATTTTATTTATTTCATAATTAACCATAATAAACAGTAATTAACATGATTTAGCTAGAAAATACAACAAAATCTCTTTCGGAAATGATGCCAGACTGGAATTATTCAAATTTGTATTTCAATGTATATGAACTTACTTTTAATTCCATTACATGCCAATGAGGTGCAAAAAAATGCAATATTTCTAAGTATTGGTTAAGTGATTAAAGTTGCACAAGATTATCTGCCAGCTAGTGATTTTATGAATAAAAAAATTAATTAAAAAAAAAAAAAAAAAGATAAAAATCTGAAAGGTTTCAGATTTTAAACTACTTCCAAAGGGGCGATTTTTTAACATTTTGTCTGTTACCTTTATTTATTAAATATCACGTTCTTCGCACTTAAACCGTAAAATTCAGTTCAAGAGCAATATCGCAAAATAGTTTTAAATTGAGCATATCCTCAGAATTTCCGATGCACAGTCTGGCGCACTGGAGATAAAAATGTTTTTACTTCCTTGTACGAAGTAAAAAGGAAGTATTGTAATAGCGAAAAGTTTCAGGCAGCATATTTCAACGAAAATATCCATTTTGACCACTATCGAATGCAATTTAAGGATGTTTTTGCGTGATATCTGTACGTAAAGACAGAATAAAATACTCTTTTTCTTCAAAAAAATTATAAAACTGCTTTAAAATTAATTCTAAAGAGAATTTTTCGTGGCGTCTGTACGAACGTATGTACGTTCGTGCGTACGTACGTATCTCGCATAACTCAAAAACGAGTAGCCTCAGAACGTTGAAATTTTGTATATAGGACTGCTATAACTCGTATTTTGGTTGCAAACGGAAGCACCAAACGTATATAAATACATTTATATATGTATCCACTCTGTTACCCGGCTCAGTGATCTCAGTTTCTTTACTCTTATATGTTTGTAAATTGTACATTTTTTGCTTTAAAAATGATTGAATTATATTGTTTTTATCTTCCGGTTAAGGATTTTATGCCTTTAGTAAATCTGTGTGCAATATTTTTAGAATTATCAGCAATTTTAAAGTTGGTGTTGTTGGTGTATTTAATTATGGCAAAGCACACGAGGGCTATCAGCCTAAAGGGAGGGATGCCTTTCGTGGAGGACTTTCTAAGGGAAACTGGCTCGTATACATGTTACACATGGGGAAAACCACGAAAACGCCCATGCAGCCAGCCCGTTCGCGGGATTCGAACCTCAGACCGAACTACCAGTGTTCAGCGTCTTTACCGCTCGGCCGCTGGTGGGCCAATTTTAAAGTTGTTTAATTACCGCTAAGCCTGCTTTAATGGCGGCCATTGATGTTTACATTTGAAACAGGAGACTAGTGGATTTGTTGCTAATCTAGAGAAACTTAGCTTCGCAACAACAATGATAACGCATTCATTTATTATTGCCAATTAAATCATGCTTAATTCTTTCTGGAATTTTTTCGAGGAAATAAGTGTTTGAGATTTACTTCGTAATTTTTAATATAGATATTTTGAGTTTTTCTGTATTTTTGCCTTCTCGCGAAGTAAGAACTGAATTAATTAAATGAGAAATACTCAATCGTCTGTGAAAAACTGTTTCTTTTTTGTTTTATTTGCTTAATTTATTTTATACATAGTTCTAGCTTTATTATAGTATTTGAATAGAACATGTGGCAACGATTAGATAATTCTTTAAATGATATACATTTTGTGCATTCTGAGTTATAATATGAATGAAATATAATACTGTTAAGTAAACCTAGCGCCAGAGTGTCGCTATGTTAAACAAAGTGAATTTTAAAGAATGCATTTATTCTATTGTGGTTTATGCGCTGTCGGCGAAGTAGGTTTAATTCAATCTAATAAGTTTAAATAAAATGCAAGAAAAAATGCGCACAATTTAATATTCCGTACAAGGAAGTCATGTGGTGTACACATCAGATTTTTTCTGTACAACATTGTCATTGCTCGCTTTGAAATCCTTGAGTTTGTTAATCAAAATTCGGTAAAATTTTACAAAATATGAAATAGGTAATAAAGCAAATTCCAAATTTCAAACTTGGGCTTCTACATAGCCATATTCATAGAGGATTACGTCATTCAAAATTCGATGGCTCTATGTAGCGTTGTTTTATCACAATGCGAGAAACATACATACATTTACAGCCATAGACGATATGCCCCCAGTTTTCATAGTTCGAACTTTCGAAAAAAAATTAGAAAGTAGTAGAAGAAAGTTACATGTCAAGTTTGTTTTGGAATATCAAACTTTTATTCTATGCATTTCGCATGCAGAATGCATAAGAAATATGGGATTAACAATGTATGAAATATATAAAAATTCTTTTTAAAATACAGATAATACAATACACGATCTTTACAATTAAAAAAGTAGCTATATAATGCAATATACATTATTCCAAAATGCTTTAGAATGTTTAATGCATTTTTCTAAGCTTTTGACATGTAAATGACATTAAGATTTTAAGCAAGATTCCATTTAATCATTCCTCTAAGAAATAAAAATATAAAAATAAAGAAAGAAAAATTATCAAATGATTAAATTTTATTTGGAAGCTTTAAATTCCTTGAAATTGAGAGCTTTGGAACTTTCATGCAGTCAACGCCACAAGCCAGTTGGTTGCATGAAGTTTTCACGAGTTCCTCCATGTGTAACGTAAATATGAGAAAATTTACCTTAAAAAATTCTCCATGATTGTAATCGCCCCGTTAAGCCGAAGCCTTCATCAGTAAATTAAAAAATTTAAACCCTTAGAGTATTTTTAAATAAGAATTGTTTGCGTTAAATTTTACAGTATTTCATATGATATATATAAACTCCATATATATTATCATACAGGACAGTTTCATTTTTTTGTTGCACAAGCACTTTTCGTATTCATTTAAAAATGTGTTTCATGATTTTTCATTCATTTAATTTTAATTACCATCTTTAATAATTTTGAATTAAATATTAATTCGCTTTCAATATTTTGCTCTTGAATTCCCAAAAATTTCTTACATTTTCTCATTTAAATACCGTAATATTTATATGAACTCAATTTGTTTACAACACTTATTCGTTCTACTTAAAGTCGTGGAAATTCTTTAATCACTTTATTCTTTGTATTACGTAGCTGCTATTAAAACACTGACAAGCCTTACAGTTACAGCCCTCGCGTCCTTATATACCTGTCGACTGACAGCAAGTCGTGGCTAAAGCCCGGATGACACTTCGGATGGACATAACATTTACTGCTGCAATTTTCAGGCTTCTAAGTGCGGCACTTCACATAACCATTATTAAACATTTACAAGATATCAGTGCTCATTATCATTTTAAAAACTTCACATACTAATTAATTTACATCTAATCATCTTCTATGCTTCAGCTGTGTACAGCCAAAGTCCTGATTTTTGTGAAAATGCAGAGGAGCTCTAATTTGCTCCTCACACAGTCGACTTTCAGGACATCAATGTACAAAACATTCATAAATGTACCCCGAACTCAAATCTCACAGGGACTGGGAGCATGGGGATTTCCCGTTGCGTAACATGTATATGACAAATTTTCTTTTACAGAATTATCCATCCCTCACCTAGGCACAGAGCTTAAATTGCGCCGGCACTTCTTAGCTTTTGAGATATATTTCTAATCCTACCCGGAGTGTACCGGAGCCCTAAATAAGAAGGCTCCTGCACTTTTTGTTATGTAACGGAACAATTATTTCAGTAGAAATTTGATCTAGAAAATTTTATTTTTAGCAATAAAATTATATAAAAAATCGCTTATTAA